TTATGCTTATGTCAGGTTAGCGGATGAAAATGGCACATGACTGAAGTAGCAGTGCCAGTACGGGCTAAACAAAAGCTCACACAAGCTCCTCAACCACCCAACCGTCTCCACACCGTGCCTAAAAATAGTTTATTATTTTTAGGTTAATTATACGTACAGACAGATAGATATCGCATTCAATAAGCTAGGCATTTATCCGTTTGCTAGATTTACTTTAATTACTAACATTTAAATGTGCTTTTTAGAAGGGAAAGTTGACTTGCTACATTTCTGCAGCTCTAGGCATTTTGGACGAGATCGGAATTTAGTTTTCCATTTTCACTTCATGTTCACCAATGTTAAACCTTCTTCCACACAAATAATAGGGGTAACCAATTAGGTTGGACAGTACACTGTAATAAAGAAGTTAACAAAAGGCTCTGCAGGAGAGAGCACCTCAAAGTAGACAAGCCAGTTATTGTGTGTGTGCTCTGTGCCTCTGCGCAGGCTTAAGGGATCCGGGGACGTTCTCCAGCCAATCAGGAATGGTCCCCAGGGATTACTGTCAGGCTTGTAGTGACTATTTCCCCACGATGCTCACTCGTGAACGGTTGCCGTGACTAGCTCAAGTCGAAGTGCACTTTGGGAACGTTTGCTGTTTTCGGCCTCTGGAACAGCTAATCACAGGCTGGCTCACACAGGACCTCATGTCACGACTGCCGACCAGACGTCACTTCAGACAGTGTCCTGTGGCTTGCGGGTGTGTAGTCACTCCATTTCCTACTGCCTATTCTTCACTTCCATCTGTACAGAATATACCTACCCTACCACTCTAACCTTCCTATGACTTCTCTCCTCTCCTAAGGAACCGGGTGTGAAGATCGCAGTTGCCAGGGTTTAAGTTACTGCGATATTTGTGACCCCGACGTGATCTGAACTCACAACTTATGATTTGGCCTGCCATCATTGCGATTATGGTGACTTTCCGATGTGATCTCAACTGGCAACTTCTGGTGTGGCTGAGCTCGCTCATCATCGAACCTCCGTCGATTTCTACTGATTTTCCTGTGCCAGCTATTTGTGACTGTGATATGGAGACAATTTTATTTTGAAGTGATTTAGAGAATATTAATCCTCTTCAGCACATCAGCCATGGTTCCTTCCCAATTAAGTAGAGAACTCCCGCTATGAGTAAAAGAACCTCGATCTTCATGGCTACAATTGGTCCTTCTTCTGTTGCCAACGGTGTCTTTTAATTCAAACCATACTGACAGGCATACTGATTTTCCCTTGACGTTTAGCTGAACCACCGGCTTTCTCCAGCAGCCCATACAACCTAGTTTTTTTTCATGCTAGCCATAGCTTTGGTACGTAACTCCTCTACTAAATTACACTATTCTATCTCCGTTGTATCACCGAACTTTGGTCTGGGAAAGGGGCCTAACCAACATGAACAGCCAGTCACCTCGTACTGCAGAAGCCGTGCGCTCTGGTGCTGTCTGGCTAATCAATACCAGTGGTTTTCCCGGAGCTCAAGCAAGGGAGAGAGTATGTTAAACCGAAAGGCACCGGTGTGACTATTGATCAGCCAGTAGCCAACCACGCGATGAGATATGAGGCTTTTGCCATAGTCCCTCCCTGAGGCGTGTGACAGAATCACAAAATATACGATACAGAAATTATTCCAAGCTCCGGATGCACCAACTATGAAATTTTAGCGTGCCTGGGAGGTTAAAAGGTTTCTTGCACACACTCAGAAACCACTGTCTCAATGACACCGGAATAACAGTCAGTTACATACAGCTCAGATTTTATTAAAAAGAAGAGTTAATGAGAAATTAATTCTCAGAAAAGTAAAAAGATGAACTTTCAAAACCGGTATATCAACCAGAAAGCAGACAGAGAAAGCTGGGGGACCCACAATTTTGTAAGTGTTGAACGAGAGGCCTGGAGACAGAAACAGAAAAAGGCGGACATAAGGATTCATCAGCCATGTCTGAACTCGTAAAGAGTTAGAAACCTAAAACCTGCTCAGCTGAGCCATCAGTTGAAATTTCTCAGAGCTCAGACAAGGGAGTGTACTAAATAGGTCATTTTTCAGAATTTGGCAACTGGTAAACGAACATAAACGAGGACCTAGGTGCTGCCACGTTGCCTAATTAAAAGCTGTTT